AACGTAGGACTCATGGAGACGGACTGAGTAAAGTGGACCAAGGTCATGAGAGCCATGCTGTAGAGGCATCCCACATAGAAAGCAGAGGAAGATGGGCACAGATGTTAGCTCAGGGCCAGTCTTCCTCAGCAAAAAGAGGAGGATTGGCAGCAGTTAGCTCAGAGCTAATCTTCCTCAAAAAAAAAAAAAAAAAAAAGCAAAAGTAGAATCAGAGACAAAAGAAGCTGAAAAAGAGAATTACCTAAATTCCTTTAGGAGAACTGGACCTGCTGGGTGCTGTGGTGGCTTTGCTCTCAGCTGCCCAGGCGGTTTCCTTGGGGCTTCCTGGTTCCTCACTTCTCTTTGTAGCTGCAGAGGAAACGTTCATTGCCTTCAATAACCTGTTCTTTATGGCCTGAAGGAACCTCACAGACACTTCTGGGAATTTACTCTTCCTCATAAAGGAGAAACTTTCTGAAGTATTTTGCCAAAAATAGCAAGGCACACCAATTGGTTTATAGTTTACTTGCCTGAGATGGACGAGTATTCTCTGACTAATTAAATGTAGCTATTTAGCTTTGCAAGACTTAGCTCATCTATTGTTTGAGTTATTCATTTAATAGACGTGGCAACATTACCTGTCTCCTATGTGAAAGACACTGTATTCTGCCCGCCTCTCTTTTGTTTTCGGCATATACCTTTTGTAATTCATTATTATTAGGAGATTATAGTGCCATGGTCTTCATTTTTGCTGTCTTCATCATTTAGGGCTTCATTTTTGGGGGTTAGAGGGTACATTTTGTTTCTCCAGTGACAGTAATTAATTGAGCAGGCATTCTGTAATGCATTTTGCAACATTCTCACATTTACTTCTGTTGGACATCCTATAAAATTGACTTGATTATTTCCTTTTCACATAAGGAAAGTGAGGCTTAGGAACCTTAAGTAACGTGTCCTGGGTCACAGAGTAGTTAGCAGCAGAGCTGGAGCTGAAGCCCAAATCTCTTTGACTCTAAAGCTCATGCTCTTAACCACAGGGCTGGATATCTGGTCTGTTTTTCAGTTCAGAAAATAAGTGAATAATGAACATCAAATTCTTTCTTACGCAAAATCCTCCTGGTGCTTGAGGCACAGGGCTGTGCAGCCTCCTCTGCAAAGCCTTTGCCGATCTCTGCCCTTCTCCCCATACTCCCCATTCTTCCCTTTGAGCAAAGGAAATCTCACATTTTACGTCCTCCCATCCTTCTGAATTCTCTAGGACTTGTAGTGCAGACCACCAATCCTTCCCTCTTGGCATCTCCTTGAAGCACCTAGCACACCTCTTGCATCTGGAGTTGATGCTTGATGCATGTTTGTAGAAGTATTAAATGCATGATTTCCTTATCTCTGCCAACATAGGACACTTGGATAGTTCTGTGCTGATCCTGCTTTTGTGCTTTTATTTTTTTGTAGTTGTTGAGGAAGATTATCCCTGAGCTAACTGCTGCCAAACCTCCTCTTTTTGCTGAGGAAGACTGGCCCTGAGCTAACCTCTGTGCCCATCTTCCTCTACTTTCTATGTGGGACACCTACCACAGCATGGCATGCTAAGTGGTGCCATGTCCGCACCCGGGATCTGAACCGTCAAACCCCGGGCCACTGAAGTGGAACGTGTGCACTTAACCACTGCGCCACTGGGCCGGACCCTGCTTTTGTGCTTTTAAATGAAAGCAATAATTATGAGCAAATAGTCTTATATCTTTCTATTTAAAGTCCTTTTTTTTTTTTTGCTGGGAAAGATTCACCCTGAGCTAACATCTATTACCAGTCTTCCTCTCTCTATGTTTTTTTTCCTCCCCCAAACCCCAGTACATAGTTGTATGTTCCAGTTGTAAGCCCTTCTAGTTCTGTGTGAGCCACCGCCACATCATGGCCATTGACAGACAAGTGGTGTGGTTCCACGACCAGGAATCAAATCCAGGCTGCCAAAGCAGAGCACACTGAATTTTAACCAGTAGGCTATCAGGGCTGGCCCTCAAGTCCATCTTTTATAGACAGCATTTAGTTGAGTCTCGTTTTTAATCCAGGTTGACAGTCTCTGCCTTTTTAATTGCAGTGTTGAGTCCAGTTACATTTAATGTAATTATTGATATTGTTGGATTTGGTTCTGCCATTCTGCTGTTTTCTGTATGTTTGTTTCTCTGTTCTTCTTTCCTGCAAGTTATAAACCTTACAAGATTGTTGTATAACTTTTGCTTTAGACCGTCTAAATTTTAAAAATGTATAAATAGCTTTTTATATTTACCCACTTACTTAACATTTCCAGTGATGAGAGTTATCATCTAGTGTCATCTTCCTTTAGCTTTCAGAATTTTCTTTAGCATGCATTGTAGTGCAGGTCTGTTGGCGATGAACTCTCACCTTTTATGCTTGAAAATATCTTTATTTCACCTTCATCTTTGAAGGTTAGTTTTGCTGGAATACTTTAAATCTGGGTTGACAAAATTTTTTTCTTTTAACGCTTTAAAGATGTTCCATTATTTTTTGGCCACAAATATTCCTGATCAAAAGTTGCCTATCGTTAGATAAAATATCCTGTACGTAGTATATCTTTTTTTCCCCCTCTGGCTTCTTTCAAGATTTTCTTTTTTAATGTTTGCTTTGGCAGTTTGACTATCATTTGCGTATGAGTGGTTTTCTTATTTATCCTGCTTGGCATGTATTGAGCTTCTTGGATCTTCAAATTAATGTTTTTTCTACAGTTTTGGGAGGTTTGGGCTATTATTTTTTAAAACCTTATTTTTTGACCCATTTTCTCTCTCCACTTGCATGTTGTTAGACTACTAGATATTGTTCCATAGTCGTGTAGGCTCTGTTCATTTTTTTCTTCAATATTTTTTTCCAGATTGGATAATTTAACTTTAACTACACTGACTCCTTTTTTTCCTGCCATCTTTTGCTGTTAAGAACTATACAGTTTTTCGTTTCAGAAAAATTCAATCATGAATTACGATCTAGTTCTTTCTTATAGTTTCTGTTTCCCCTCTGTGCATTCCTTGTCTATATATTTTCCTTTAGGTCCTTTAAGTTCTGTAAGTTCCTGTCTGCTAATTGCAACATCTGATTCACCTTGGAATTGGTTTCTAGAGACTGCTTTTCTTTTTCTTGAGTACGGGGCCCATTTTCTTGTTTCTTTGCCTAGTGATTTTTGATTGAACACTAGACATTATAAAGGATACATTACAGAGGATTTGTTATGATCCTTTGAAGAATTTTTTTCTTAGCGGGTAATTAATGTGGCAAACTTTAAGTTCCAAACTCCTGTGTCCCGTGCATTAGTAGCAGCTGAAATCTCCATTCAGTTCTTCCAGTTTCCAGCTGCTGCTTTTTTGCAGGCCCTCAGCAGTCTCCAGCCAAGAATTGGAGATTTTATTTGCAGATTTGGAAGTCCACTCCCCTTTATGGCTCCCTCCCTTTCTGGGTCCCCCCTACCTTTCTGACTGCTCTGCCAGCCCTGAACTCTGTCCACTGTCACCCTGAACCATGCCTTGTAGAGATGTGAGGGCCCCCAAGCAAAAAGCTGCAAATTTACAGATCTCACCAGGTGCAGTTCTTTTCTTTTGAGACTCTCTTCCAGTTTCTGCCAGCTTTTGATCATTCTCCAGTGCCTTCAAATAATTTTTAAATATTTTGTACAAATTTTATAATTGTTATTTATAGAAAGGTGGTATGAAGCCAAGCACATACCTTTTTGGGTTTACATTCGAGCTTCTCATCCTCAGCCTTGTGCTCAGCTGCTGTGGAGGAAATAGGGCTTTTCCTCAGGGAGCCACAGTTTCAGCCGAAGAGTAGAGATGGCATGGTGCAAGGAGCACTGTGGGAGTGTGTCAGTCAGCTTGGGGTGCTGCAACAAAGTACCCCAGGGTGGGTGGCTTAACAGAATTTTTTTCTCAGTTCTGGAGGCTGGAAGTCCAAGATCATAGTGTTGGCAAGTTCGATTTCTCCTGAGGCCCCTCTCCTCAGCTTGCAGATGGCTGCCTTCTCCACGTGTCCTCATGTGGCCTCTTCTCCGTGTGTGTGCATCCCTCGTGTCTCTTCCTACTCTTCTCAGGAAACTAGTCCCATTGGATTAGAGCCCCACCCTCATGACCTCATTTAACCTTAAATACTCTGTCTCCAAATACAGTCACATTGGGGGTTAGGGCTTCAGTGTATGAATTTAGGGGGGACACAGTTCAGTCCAGAGCAGAGAGTCATCGAGGCTGGGGATGGTTTGGGAGCAGGCGGGAGAGGCAGAGCTGTGGTAGGAGTGGCATCAGGACACATTTGATCATTTACCACATCAATGCCGAATGCCTGCTTATTCCAGGCACCGTGCTACGGGTTCACTGTGAGCAAGTCTGGCCCTGTCCCCGCCCTCATGGAGCTCACAGCCTAGGGGATAAAGAGACATGTAGACAGCGGCATGTACAGACAGGGGACATGTAGGGTGCCCCAGGAGCACTGAGGAAGGGGTGCCCTAATAAAGTTAGGGGTCAGGCAAGGCTTTCTCGAGGAAATGCCTTTCTAAACTGAGATCTGAAGCATGAGATAGGAGTCAGCTGTGGAAGAAAAGTGCTTCAGGCCAGGCGTGGGGCCTGGCCAGTGGGAGGGGCTCGGGTTGAGGAGGGCACCCAGAGGAACAGGAACATTTAGTACAGCTGGAGGGGGGCACTGGGCTTGGAGTGGTGCTGAGGGATAAGGCCGGAGAGGTAGGTTGGGGCCGGCTCCCTGTTGGATTGTCTGTCCCTCTAGAGAGGAGGCTCCTTAAACATGATAACCGAGACTCCTTCAGCTCGGGGTCCCCTTCCTGGCAGTGTAGGTGTGTAGTGAGTGTTGACAGGGGCCATGTATTATTATTTGGAGGAGGGAGCAGAGGTGGGGGGTTGTAGAGGGGGGTGGCCGCCTGCACACCTGGTAGAGCAGGTGCAGGGCCTGGAGGTTGCCGACCTCCTCTGGTTGCACCTGCGCCCGCAGGTCACAGGTGTGTTGTTGTCGTTCAGCCCTGGACAGCGAGTCCGCCTCCAGCAGCATCCGCTTCAGCAAGGCCTGCCTGAAGAACGTCTTCTCGGTGCTGCTCATCTTCATCTACCTGCTGCTCATGGCCGTGGCCGTCTTCCTGGTCTACCAGACCATCACGGACTTCCGTGAGAAACTCAAGCACCCCGTCATGTCAGTGTCTTACAAGGAGGTGGATCGCTACGACGCCCCAGGTAGAGCCTACCCTGGACAGGCATCAGGGCCCAGGTCTGGAGCATAGCTTGCAAATACTCCCTGAGCCGCCAGTGCACTGCCAGCATTGTGCTGGGCACCACGGGCAGGGCGGAGGGGTCGACACAGTCTAGGTGTGGAGTACACACTTGAAGAGCTGCCGTGGGTGCCGAGCACAGTGTGTCATGTCCCGGGGAGAGAGGTGGGCGGAGCCTGGAGTGGTCACTGCAGAACTGAGGTGGGCAAGGCACGCTTTCCACAGAGGTAGTGTTTGGGCTGGGCTTTGACAGGTGGGAAGAGAGTTTTCTGGGAGGAGGATCAGCAGGAGCAAAGGTGAGTGTGGAGAGGCAGAGGGCTTCTCAGGAGAGGATGAGTCTGGCCTGGCTGGAGCCAGAGGCCAGTGAAGAGGAGAAGTAGGGGTTAGAGGTGGCAGGGGGAGGCAAGGCCATCCGGAGGTGGTGGGGTCCTGCCTGGAGAGGGGGGTCCCAGGCCACACCGGCCATCCCTGTCTCAGCAGGGAGTCTTGTCCCAGAGCAGGGAGTCAGCTCTGCTGTGGAGTGCACTGTTGGCTCCAGGGCGGTGGGGCTGGCCCTGGGCTCTGGAAGCATGGGAGGGAACGGGGAGGCAAGGGCTCTCTGGGCCCAGGCTCTGCCCGCCTGGTGTGTGCCATCTGCTCCACCCACAGCATGCCCAAGTGACCCTCCAGATGGCCCACTCCCAGGGCAGGGCCAGTCTCGGGTCCCCTCTGCCTGGGGCTTCTCGACAGGCATGCCGGTCACGGCTCCTTCGCCCGTCTTTGTCTGTCTCATGTTTGTCTCTCTTCTCTGTGTGTCTGCGTTGGTCTCTATCTGTGGGTTTTACTCTCTGTCTCTGGTCTCTTGGTGTCTCTGAGCTCCGCCTGGGTCTGGTGCCATGTGCTGCTTTCAGTGTTTCTGCCACTGAGGTCGGAGCAGCTCCTGTCAGGAGAGCCTTGGCCCAGGTGCCTTGGCTGGGGCAGAGGGAGGATTGTTGGGGTGCAACTTGCACAGGTGGAGCCCCCAGTCAGAGCAGGAGGTGAGAGAGAAACTGAGATCTTGGGAATCCCACAGCCGAGGGCCCCCCGTGATTGTGCAGGTGGGTGGCATTGCTGGGGGATTGGACTGAGCTAGGCTCAGTCACTGAGGCCCCTCGGAGTGTACAGAGCAGAGTTTTGAAGTGGGGGTTTCAGCGCAGGTGCTGGGGAGGCTGCATCCCAGGGCACCCCCTGCCTGAGGAGGGGTCATGTCCCGATTAGAATAGGGCTTTCTGAGGGCAGAATGAGAGGGGATATGCCTCCCCACCCTCTATAACCCTTTCCTTCTGCCTCCTCTGCGGTCACCCAGGGAGTCCTGAACTCAGGTTGTTGGTGGGTGTGAAAAAGTGTACATGACACGGTTTTAGGGGTGTGGTCAGGGACTGTGACTTGTGACGTTCTTTTCCCTGTTTGCACCCCCCCAGGTATTGCCCTGTACCCTGGGCAGGCTCAGTTGCTCAGCTGTAAGCACCATTACGAGGTCATTCCCCCTCTGAGGAGCCCTGGCCAGCCAGGAGACATGAACTGCATCACCCAGAAGATCAACTACACAGACCCTTTCTCCAATCAGACCGTGGTAACTCCATCTCCCCGAACTGGGTCTGGGTGGGCTGCTCTGTCAGCCCCGCCCTCCAAGGGCCCCGTCTTCTCTCTGCTGGGTGGTCTCACACAGTCCTTGCTGCGGGCCCTTGGACGCCAGCAGACACGAGGCTGTGCCAGGTGGAGCTGCGGCCATTGCTGGCTTGGCTGCATTCAGGGAGGGCAGCGAGGCCTTCAGCCTTCTCGGAGTGACCGTCAGGGATTCCTGACCACGTTTAAGATCCTGTCCTTGATAGAAGGGTGAAGGGCTGCAGGGTGGGCCCAGGGTGACACAGTGAAGTGGGTTCTAGACCTGCCTGCTCGAGAGAGTCGCTGGGCTACTTTTTGAAAATATAGGTTCCCGGGTTCCACATGAGGCCGACTGGACCATTTTTCATGGGCACGGGGCCTGGGAATCCATATTTTGAAATAGGCCAATGTAAAGAAGGAACAGGGTCCTGTGCGGGCCTGCGTCACCTGCAGCTCAGCTGGGCTGGGGCGTGGACGGGAGGGAGGAGCGGTGCCTGCACAGGGTTTTGAAGGCAGAGAAGGAATTGATTTACATCTTCTCCTTTTCATCTCATATCTTTGCTTCAACAAGGCTAGAAAGGGGCTGAGTAAAAGTTTCCCAGGTCAAAGAGAGGAAGGAAAGGTTTCTTAGGCAGAGGAACTCTGCACCAAGACACCGAGGAAAGAAACTGCATGTGGTGTTTGTGCCTCTGTGCAAGATTACAGTAATGGGGTGTTTCTGGAGGGTCAGATGCCCCCAGAAGAGCAGCGGGAGGTGAAGCTGTGGGCAGAAGCGGTGGCCGGATGAGAAAAGCACGTGGGTCGTGCTGCGGAGCACTTGCTCCTTTGGGCGATAGATAGCGAGCTGCCAGTGGGTCTTAAGATGAAAGAATCACACTAAGATTTTTTGTTAGTATGTTTACTCTAGGCTTCCTCGTAAAATCCTGCTGAAATGATTCCCACCCCTGCAAAAAAATAGAATAAAATATCAATAATAGCCCTGCAAACTAAGAAAGGGTATCCACCAGTGGACCAGAAATCTTGAGGAACTGGTGCAAAATATAAATAGCAAGTTCGGTTAGATTGATGGAGCAAACAAATCAGAGGAAACCTGTACCCTAAAGCACATGCAGGAGAGGACTGTAGAGGTGAAAGCTTTCCTTCCACCTCCCGACTTTGAGCTCCTTCAAAGAGCGGGGCTGGCCGTGGGTCAGTGGTCAGGATAGTAACTACGGGACCACCTGCTCACTGGGCCTGCCACACCTTTTGCCCTCCGAGGGCACACAGGGCCGCTGGGGACAGTGTTTGCTTCTGGGTAAAAGGCCCAGCTGTTTCCACGTAGGGTAAGGGAAGGCTCACCGCTGGGGCATTTGGGACAGAGAGAAAGCAGCACTTGAGGCTGGACCTCCACAGTGGAAGCCAGGAGATCCACCAGGGGAGGTCTCTTCCCGGAAGAGAAGTACTCGGAGAGCCCGGCCTGCTGGCATTCCCTGCCCACTGCCACGGAGCGTCCTCACAGAGAGCCCGAGGCGGGGCGAGCCTGTGAGAGATCTGCTTAGGAGGAAACCCACACCCCAGACCTACACGAGTCTAATCCATCAGAAATAAAGATGGAGAATTAAGGGTCATTAGACATTTACATGTAACCAACAGCATAGAAGAGAAGGACCCGGAGGGACAAATAGAGTGGAGTCAAGAATAGGGAAATGGAATCTAATTTAAATGAAAAGCAAAATTTTAAAAAATTTTAATGAAGAGCCAGATAGACAGTAGAAATCCCAGCTCTGTCCGTTCCGTCTGTAAACCTGCTCACTGGGCGCCTGTGCCTGCTTAAATGGCCCAGCTGGTGCTGGCGCTCTGGATGTCCTTCTTGGCTCCCCAGTTGAGTAGGACATTTACTAGGAGTCCGCTGCGTTAGTTCCCAAACCCGTTTATGCCTGTTGTACTTGTTATAATAGTTACGTAATTTAACTGAATATTATAAAAACCCATGAAATAAGGACAGAGAAGGAGAGTTGTTTCCGTGAAAACTAAGGTGATTGCAGTTACTGCCTCCAGCTCTGGGTGATGATTAGTGTTCTCCACCAACTCTAGATGTGGCTCCGCAGTCCACAGCCATAAACTAAGAGCGAAGTTCTCTGCTGCCTGTGCCCCAGGTCCCCCACCTTAAACCAGGGCCCAGCAGGGGAGGAGGAATAGAGATGCAGAGCAGAACTCCCGCATGGCGAAGGGAAGAATGGGACGCGCACAGCAGCTACTCTCAAGGCAGCGATGAAGCCCTGCTGGGGGGACCTGGGAGATGTCCACCCTCAGCATGGAAGGAGCATCTTGCTGGAGACCTCTGTGTCCTCTGTGGCCCCTGTCCTTGCCCGCTGGAGACTCTGCCATGGCGGTGGTCCTCCGTGGCCGTGTCCGGAGTGAATTAGGAAATAGGCCCTTCCCGGGCTGCACAGCTGTGGACACCCACTTCCTGCTGCACAGTTGGGGGGCGGCTTGAGGGCGGACTTGGAGGCTGGCTTGTTGTTATTTTTCTCCTGCACCCCTCCCCTTTGTTCGCAGAAACGTGTAGGCTTCTGGCTGTTTGCGTGCTGTGGAGTCCATGTGAAAGTGACCCAGCCAGGGGTCTCATGTGGTCCTACCTCGTCCATCTTCAGATTCTCATTTATTTTTCTAGTCTCTCTTGTGCCCTCGATATAATCTAGTTAATTTTTACTGAATGCTTTGGTCTGGTACAATGAAGGTCACCACCTTTCTAGCCTGTGGGACCCGTATCTATTTCCTGGCCACCCGCCTTATTCCCCATGTCCAAATGTTAAGCTGATGCCTCATTTTAGGTTGTTGTTACCAGTTCCAGAAAACAACTTATGTATTGGTCAGAGAACAGGGTAAGCTACTGTGCAAAAACAGACACCCCGGACAAACACTGTGGCTGAGACGAGAGAGAAGTCTGTTTCTTTCTGTGGGGATGGTCTGGGCATGCAGGCTGTGCCACACCGTGGGCTGCATTGCCTCAGGATGGTCAGCCATGGCTTCTGTCTGTCACTCTGCCATCCCCGTAGCATTGTCCTGGTCCTTGTGGTCAGCACTGGCTCGCCAGCGTGTGTACACGTGCTTGCTCCCAGGAAGGTGAGAAATGGAGGGCAAGCAGTTCCCTTTTAAGAGCGTGACACGGAGCTGTGTGAGTCACTTGGGCATATTCCAGGAACTCCGTCACGTGGCCACATCTGAGGCCAGAGATGAGGCTCCAGCAGGGCAACTGTGTTCTGCTAAAATCTGGGATTGGAGAAGCGGTTCTGGTTCTGCAGGAGGAAGTGGACGATGGAAACTGGGGGCGGTTAGCATTCTCTGCTGCCACATAACGTGTCATGGCAAGGTTGAAAATAAATAGATGGACAGAGATCTCTTGAGAAAATGCAACAGTAACCAGAAGAAGTGGAGTGGCAATATTAATATCAGTTAAGATGGAATTCCAGGTGTAAAGAGTTAAAAGAGGACTGTTTCATATGGATTAGAGGCTCAACTCCACTTCTCTCCACCGGGAGGATGTAACAGTCATAAATCTTCATGTGCAGGACAGCATACTGTTTGTATATTTTAGGAAAAACCTGTTAGAAATAAAAAATACTATCACCTTAGAGTGGGCCTAACACCTCTCAGAAATTCACAGATCAAAGACAAAGAGTAGTAAGGATGAGAAGTGAGTAGCACAGTTAATAAATTTAGAGCGAGTGTGTGTAATGCTTGTGCCTGACAGACTTCTCACTCTTTTCAACTATCTGTAGAGCATTTATAAAAGTTGATGTAAAGATGTTTTTTCCCAAATTAATCTGAAGTCCTTATCATCACAGTTAAAAGTCCTGGTTGATTTTTTTCATGGAACTTCACACGCTTGTGTTAAAGTACATTTGGAGGAGCACAGGTACAGAATAACCCGCTGGGCTTGTGGAGGGGAGGAGTTACGTCGGGGGGACCCAGTCAGGTGCTAGCGCGGTGTGAACACCCAGGGTCCAGCCCACATCTCCGCATTGTTTGGAGAGTTAGAGCCCTGTGCACGCCGTATACAAAACTGGAAGCCAGGCATAGAGAGCCTCTAAATGTAAAAAAGTTTTTAAAAAAGTGCTTTAAAGTAGAGGAGCATATTGATATAATTTTGATATAATTTATGTGATTTGATGTAATATTGATATAATTTTCCTTAGCAAGCAAAACCCAGAAGATGTAAAGAAAAAGATTTATAAATTTCACTACAGCAAATTTAGAGCTTCATATAACAAATGGCATTAGAAACAAAGTTAACAGGAAAGCAACAGACTAGAAGGAAACATTGTACATATAACAGATGGAAGTTCATGTCCTTTCTAGATAAAGAGCTTCCATGGCCCAGCCAACCGATGAGAAAAGTGGACAGGGGACGAGGCGCATGCAGCTCTGGTTGGGGCACTAGACCCGGAGAGCCGCCCTGAGGGCTGAGCAGGAGGCAGGCGCCGACCTGGCTCCCTGAGCAGGAGGGTGTGGCCAGGGTCACTTTGGGGGCTGCCAGGGCGCTGAGGAGGTTTGGGCTTTCCAGTCAGGCCTCCAGGCAGACTCTGAAGTCTCTGTGCCCCAGGCGAGGGTCGGGAGCAGCCACGCAGCTCTCCCAGGGCTGAGATTCTGGCCTTTGTGTCTCTGCAGAAGTCCGCCCTGGTCGTGCAGGGGCCCCGTGAAGTGAAGAAGCGGGAGCTGGTCTTCCTCCAGTTCCGCCTGAACAAGAGTAGCGAGGACTTCAGCGCCATCGATTACCTCCTCTTCTCTTCTTTCCAGGAGTTCCTGCAAAGGTGGCCTTTTAGAGTGCACAGTGGGTTTGCTGTACACTCCATCTTATTCCAGCCTTGCACATCCCTGGGCTAGGGCGTGGGGGCGGGGACAGGGGAGCGGGGCTGCGGATGAGCCACTGGCCCAAAGAAGGACCAACTGGAGAAGGGCCTCGGGCTCAGCTGGTCCATGAGACCCCTCACACAGTTAAGTCTGGTGCGGGGGCTGCTCTGACTTCTGCACGCAGAGCTGGCCTCATCCTGCAGAGAGGTTTGGTCAGCCTGGTGCTGGGGCTCCTGAAGACAGGAGGGTGCAGCCTTGATCGTGTGGCCCCTTGAGGGCCGTCCTCCCCTCTGCCAGGTTTCCCCTGAGGGTCTGGGGAACTGTGTCTGCCCCTTGCTGAATGCTTGGTGTGTGTTAGCCACACGTTTCTAATATGAGGATGACAGCTCCTGTCTGCCATGGAGACACGCCATGGTGCCATCTCTAGGGCCCAGAGTGCTCATTGCTCATTTTCTGCATGTGCCTGAGTCGAGGGTGACTCGGTCCCCGTGGGTCCTGTGGAGCCCTGGGGCTTCATTTGGAGGAAGTAGGGAGGCAGCCACAGCAGAGGAGAGGCAGCTTCCTCTGCCGTTCACACCACCACTGCCCCGTCCTTCCTGTTCTGGAGCTTGTGAAGCCTCCGCCTTGGCATCTTCTGCCCTCTTGGCCACTTATTCCCTCTTCTTTCCCCGCTTGAAGCTGGCCTGTGTCACCTTACCCCCATGCCCTCTGTGTGCTCTTTGCGTGAGCTTCCTTAATACTGCGCTGCCGTTTCCACTTGCTTGTGTGCACTTGATGATCTTGCTGCACCTCCACCACCCCAGGCAGACGCTGTGGGTGTCCCATCTGGCTGGGAGCTCCCCAAGGAACTCTCTTCCCCTCTCTGAGCCTTCCACCGGGAGGCTGACAGGCCAGGGAGGGGTCCTCAAGGTGCTGACGTCCAGTGGTCTCCGAGTTGCCAGGAGCACTGTGCTGTGGGGCGTGTCTGCAGCCTTCAGTGCCCATGGCCCTGGGAGCAGGTGGTGGGAACGAGGGGGCAGGAAGGAGGAGGAATTCTCCCATTGGGAGCTTCAGGGATCGCGTTCTTGCCTTGAGCTGAGTGATTTAGAAGCCTCACCATTTAGAAGCCAGGAAGCAGAACTTGGAGAAGCAGCAGGGAGTAGGCAGCATCCTGGTGGTGCCAGCAAAGAAACCGGCTCGAAGTAGGGCTGGAGTTTGGCCACGTGTGAGTCCTGCTGTGAGGCCTGACTGACTTGGTCCTTTCTTCTCTGTCCTCCAAGCCCAGACAGGGTGGGCTTCATGCAGGCCTGTGAGAGCGCCTATTCCAGCTGGAAGTTCTCTGGGGGCTTCCGCACGTGGGTCAAGATGTCCCTGGTGAAGACCAAGGAGGAGGACGGGCGGGAAGCAGTGGAGTTCCGGCAGGAGGTGGGTGGCACTGGGTTTGCTTCGCACTGCCAGTGACTCTCCCCTTGCGTCTGGGGTGGAGGGAAGCTTCACAGAGGAGATGACCTTCCGCAGGGTCTTAAGGGTTGGGGAGACCGTCATCATGATGAGCAGGGACCCCATGGCAGGGGTTTACGTGTTCTTCCCAGGCCCTTTCCCTCCATCACTGCTGGTCCTCACAGAACACAGGGGTGCAGAGACCTCTGCATTTTGCAGAGTGCGTAACTCGCCCAGCTGTATCTGAAGCTGGAGCCCGTGTCCTTAGCCTGCACCCCCTGGCGCTCTGAGAGACGGGCAGCTGCAGAAAGATCAGTTATTTGCAGGGAAGAGAGACTTGCTACAGTGGCCCCTGAACTGTTGCACGCGCGTGATGATTCACTGGGATGCAGGAGGGAAATAGTAGCTTGCTTTTTGTGTTAATTTTTTATCTCATCCTTTTTCTGTTTTTGAATGTTTAAAAATGCATGTAACATTAGAACAATGATAGTAATGTCACATCACTTCTAAGAAAGTTATAAATATGTTGGGTACATGCTCAAAATTTTTATTAATGGGAAGTGTGATCAAAAAGTCTTCAGCCCACTGGCCTGGAGCCAGGAGATAGGCCGGGAGTTTCTAGCCGTGATCCTGGTGACGCATGGAGAGGACCTTGGAAAAAGCAAGTGAGGATCGGGGGATGGGACGTTTTGGTTGCCTCAACAGGGCTGTTTGTCAGTCTCCCCCAAAAGCCAGGCTGCACGCCCACCTTGGGGCCTTCTGCCTCGGCAGTGGCTCTCCGCCCTCCTGTGGCCTCCACACCCAGAGCCTGAGCGTCCCGTGTGTCAGTGGCTGGGGACCTGCAGAGGCAGAGAGGAGACGGGGCTCTTCTTGCCCCCTCTGCTCCTCCGCAGAGGTGGTGGTGCATTTGGGCTGGACTCAGGGGCAGCACTGGAGAGGGCTGGGTTGGAGGAGAAGGAGCTCCTCCAACTGACAGGGCCATGATGGGCCAGAAGCCACGCGCTCCTCCAGCTCTGCCCCTTCCCATGTCCTGGCTCCTGGGACGACTCCGGATTGGAGGCCTTTGGGGAGGGCTAAAAGCCAGTTTTCTGCAACACGACTGGCGCTTTTTTCCTGCCTTAAAAGGCGACAACCCCCCTGGCAACAGATCCTTAAAATATTCCTATTTTGTAAGATAACTGTCATCTCCTGGATTTTTACTCCACACTTTTCTCCAGGAACTCCAGGTCCCTTCTCATCTGGCTCCACAACAGATGAGAACAGAGACTCAGTGTGTTCCCCTTACAGTCGGGTGTCACCCCAGTGGACCCCGGCTCTCCTGGTGGTTCCAGCTGTGCTCTGAAACCAAGGGGGCCACAACCCCAGCGGACCTCTGCATTTTAGATTGTTTTATGTGCCGTTCGTTGTTGTCTGAATTGGAAGTCTTGGTGGGGCACATGAACGCTTTTGAACAAAAATTTTAAATGTTTTTACATTGTTTTAAAGCTTAAAATTCTTTCATACGTATTGTTTCATTTGACCCTCACCGCCCCTCCGTGAGGTGGGCATTTTGTCCCGTTTTATTAGTGGCAAAGCGCAGGCTCAGATCAGATGATGGACCCAACCCTCTGGGCCGGGGCTGGGCTCCTGTCTCTGGAAGCTGTCTGCTCTCTGACGCCGCGCAGCCGCTTTAGTAACCGAGAACCAGACCTTAGCGAACATGCCTACGACACACTTACAGGAAACGCTCAGCTGTGGGGACCTGTGAGGTGGTGCTTTGTTCCTGTAGACCAGAAGGGTTGAAATACTCAGCTCTTAAGATCAAGTATTTTGAAATTTGGGATTTTTATGGCATTTAATTGTGAGTCTTATGCAGTACTTTTAATATGGTTTAATCACGACTACAGATACCTAATGAGATTTTGGTAACCATCCAAAACACTTCTTGTACATCCCAGATCCTAGCCATTTCCCCCAAAGAACTATGGAAACCAAGACAAGACAAAGTCTTGTCTCTGGTACCAGTTGCAGAAGGGTTGTGTCTATGAGATTTTTGGCTCTCTTCCTCCAAAACGTCGTGTGAGGAGAGCCAAGGTCTGAGGCCCCCTACCCTCTTCTTCCCATGGGCCGGGCAGGGGAGGGCACCGAGGCGGTAACACTGCTCTCTCTCCTCTGTACCTAGACGAGCGTGGTTAACTACAATGACCAGAGGCCAGCTGCCGAAAAAAGTGCTCAGTTGTTTTTTGTGGTCTTCGAGTGGAAAGACCCCTTCATCCAGAAAGTCCAAGATGTGAGTATTACTTACGATGACGAGAGCAGACTCCCTGGCCTGAGCATTCGGGCTCATCCTTGCAGGCCCTCCTCTCTCCTAGCCCAAATCAGTTTGTCCTTCATATTTATGATGTTCATGCTCTGTATTGTTTTTTTTTTTTTAAAGATTTTATTTTTTTCCTCTTTCTCCCCAAAGCCCCCCAGTACATAGTTGTATATTCTTCGTTGTGGGTCCTTCTAGTTGTGGCATGTGGGATGCTGCCTCAGCGTGGCTTGATGAGCAGTGCCACATCCGCGCCCAGGATTCGAACCACTGATACACTGGGCCGCCTGCAGTGGAGCGCGCGAACTTCACCACTCGGCCACGGGGCCAGCCCCTGTGTTGTTTGTTTAATCTTGTCTTCGTCACTAGACTGTTGTCCTCTGAAGGTGGGGACCTTGTTTTTGTTCACCGTGACTTATCTGGTGCCCAGCAGAGTGCTCAGTACAGAGGAGCTGCTTCATAGTAACATTAATCAAATGAACTGAGTAGAAAGCATGAAGCTAACGTCTAGATTACTGCTGTTGGAAGCCATTCTTTAGTGGTTCTCTGTAGGATAAGAATCCTCATTATTTGTTCTAAGTCAGAGCAGAAAGGTACAAATAAAAAATTAACAGAGCCTCAATTAATGCTGAATTCTCAGACTCATGGTTTCAGAAGGGAAGGAATAGTGGCACAGCTTTGCCAAAGGAACATTTGTGAGACACCACTAGAGCCAGTCCAGAATCTAATCCTGACTGGCCTTTAGATGATCACAAAATGCCCTGATATGGTTATGGCTCCGGGGAGACTTTCTCGCAGGGCTGAGACTCGAACAGGGAGGGGCTCTTTGACGTGGATGGTTCCATTAGCACCCGGCACCACTCTCAAGGCCACGTACGAGCAGCCACGGGCAGAGGCTTCCTGAATCAAGACTGGGAGGAAGAATGAGCACCTTCAGCTGCTCATGTCAAACCTGTGATCAGACAGTTTTTAACCTACTGTATTCAGTATGAGGTACCTATTTTGGGCCAGGCAAAGCCCCATGTTTGAAGGCTGCTTCCCTTGCATTGTCACTCAGCTTCACAATAGTCCGAAATAGTGCTGGTGGCATATAGCCATTTTGCATGTGTGAACCCCGAGGCTCAGATTGTCTGTTCTTCCTGCTAAACTGGGACTTAAGTGCTGTGCATTTATCATGCTGGGAAACTTAGAAATCCAAGAGACGGACTCAGCCTTAAAGGGCTTAACTTTGAGTGAGAGAGCAATCTCCAGCTGTAAAGGGACTAATTCCAGACAGTAAGTAACTGCCAGAGGAGTTTGTGGGATAAATCTCTGCTGAAGTCGAGAGGGTTTTGGCTTAGTGGTCAGCATCTCTGAGGAGCCCTGAAGGAGTGGTAAATCTAGCCTGGAGGACAGCGTCCCAGGCAGGGCAGTCCGAGGGCACGGCCTGGAGCAGGAGTCCGTGCGCTGAGCGGGGGAGGAGAGACAGTCATTGGACTGGAGGGGAGAAGTGCAGGAGGACCCGACCTTGACATGGACAGCACATAGTTTAGGGGAAATTTGTCTCAAAGCAAGGTCACTTGTGAATTAGGCCAAAAATTTAAAGCTCAGTGCTGAATACCTTATTTGTGCAGTGCTTTTTTGAAAAACAAATTTTTTCTTTCAAGATCACTTTATTATAGGGAAGGATTAGTGTTTTTCTCCTCTGAACTGTGGCCATTGAAGGAATAGTCTGAACCAAGTACAGAGTTTTGGCAGTTTTGGAACCCAAATGTTTTTCTTGTCACCCCAGTAATTTGGGGCGAGGGGCTCTTGACAGTAACACGAGTCTCACCCAAGAATCAAAACTGAAGCAAACTAATAAACTCATGCTGGTTTCTGTTTTACAGATAATCACTGCCAATCCTTGGAACACAATCGCTCTTCTCTGTGGGGCCTTCTTGGCATTATTTAAAGCAGCAGAGTTTGCCAAACTGAGTGTGAAATGGATGATCAAAATTAGGAAGAGATACCTTAAAAGAAGAGGTCAGGCAACGAACCACATAAGCTGAAGTTGCCTGTGTGGTTCACAGAACCGCCTCCGTCGATGGAAGTCTTCATCGCTTCCGCTTTGATGGACCGAGTACCAGCAATCCTGTACTCACTCGAGGAACCTGCCTGCTGGGAGGGACAGCCTGTCAAACCGCAGCTTCTCACCTGGCACCAAAAGAGGCTGTTTCGAGCCTAACGGAACAGATCCAACGAATAACCGAAAAATTATTTAAGTATTTAAATTATTAATGAACATTTTTGACATACGACGTATGAATGGGGTTTGTGGAAGATGGAATTAGATACATATCAAGTTTCCAAAGCTTTGTGAAAGCTGCCTTTCCTCTTATTTGGTTTGGTGTATAGTGAAGCTCTAACAGGATAATTAAGGGTCTGTTTTTTACCTTAGGTTTTTCCCCTGAGGTTTTTAAAGTCAACGGAAGAGAGTGATTTTTTCCCCCCAAATCCTGATCCTCCGGATGTGTAGGTCGTGTTGGAAACCTGTGCACTGTACACAAAGGCAAAAGCCCCGTGTCTCTGGCATCATCTGCCGTTTACATTGTCCAGCCTCTGACAAGCTCTCTCATTTGTAAAATATTAAAGGAGTCTTTTTTAAAGCTACTAGGAACTAGTAAGTAGATTTCTTGTGGACTGACTGGCCACCTACCTGTCTGGCTGGAATATTTGTTGACGCAGGTCTAAGAGGTGAGAGTGATTAACACACAAAAGGACTGGGACATATGTACATAGTAGGTGCCTACTCAGTGTATTTTGATGATTCCATTAGCTAGTAAATAAAAGTTAGGTTAATACAAAAGGAATCGGTGTGCCAGTCTGAATATCTGCTAAATCACTAGGCACCGGTACGTTTCCATTCTCTGACTCCAAATAAAAGGCAGCGTGAGCCTGGGCTCCTGACACAGCTGGATCTGGACTCCAAGGTATGTCCTGACTGCGTCCAGGGAAGGGTAGGGTGGGCATGGCGACTGATGGCGGATGATCAGGAAGAGTCACGGATCGAGCCCTGTGAACTGTCCTGTAAAACCACCCATCTGAGAAAGGGGCACTCGTATGGCCCTAAAAGGCCTCGGCCTCGGCCTATGACAGAGATGACTGCCCTCTGGGTATTTTTCACATGGCAGCCATCGGCTGATTTAAGGTTATGAAAATTGTTTCTGTAATTTTAAATTATTTACATGCCCTTTGCACCCAAAGAGGACTTGGCAGCATTTTCTGAATTTCATAACCTGGCTTTAGGTAATTCAAAGAGAAAGATTCAAATATATGAGTAGGGCATTTTTATCTCATGTCTAACTTAGCAGCAAGAAACTTGTGTTTTTTGGTTGAAATATTAAAAGTGAACTTGTGTAAATAAATATTCCCTGCTACTTTTCTATGCCTCAGAAGCATGCAAATTCAAGTTTTAGCCTAGGTCTCGTCTCTGTATAATCTTAGTATAAGGCATATGCAAAGCCAGGCATAAAAGCTTACATTAACAGTACTGAAAAACAGGTGTGTGTGCCTTTTAAAGTATCTCTAAAGATGACACACCACTTTAATGTTACTTAAATATCTAATAAAATTTGCTCCAAAGAACGTAACATACTAAAACTGCAATTGTGGAAAGTTGAGTGACCTTTTCAGTGTTCTTTAGAATAAGTAGGTAATTAGGAAATGAGCATTTTTAGCTCGCCAAAGAAAAACTTCAACAACTATTAGCTGCAGCCTGCCAAAATCCACTCTGGCTGCTCGTCAGTAAAAGAAATCTGTGCCTAAACCTTTCACAAAATAGACATTTGGACCTAACCTTCACTTTCTGGAAAGGCAGGGCCTTGCCTTTCTTCTGTGTTCCGTAGTAGATCACCCTTTCCTGGCACCTGCCCTGGCCCTGCTGTCAGTAGTCCTGGCTGGTGGTGGGTTAGTGTGGAGACCTAGCAAGAACACGTTGACCTGGAGGGCTGAGATGGGGCGGCTGCTGGAGAACACGATGCACTCGGAGGCATGTGCGGAGAGGAAGAGTTTCTGCTGGGGCCTCAGTGAGTGAGAGGAGTTGCTTTTACAGTGACCAAGGATTAGTGTCCAGAAGCCATGCTACAGTTTTTCATGGATGTGAAAGAGTGGAATCAGACATCAGTAGTTGACAACTTTATAATAACCTCTGACGTAGGACTCTGCCACAATCTCCCTGCCCCCACAGAAAACCCAGTGCTCTTACCGATTACAGATTTTGAGATTTATCTTAATGGGTCTACTTTAATTAAAACTAACATTAAGGTAAATTAAACCCATCCTCTGAACATAAAGGGACGTGAGAGAAGATGGAAGGATATCCTAGAACTTAGAATTTTATGCAGATATTCTATAAAGCATATACTTTGGTAAATGGCTGGGACACCCAACTCTGGCACATAATCTTTTTTTAGTTAGAACATATCCTACGATTTGCCTTAAAGTTTTCTGTACGTATACATGTGTATATATAAAAGGGGGCAAGCTTCTGGATGCCTAAACTGAGAGGTGAAAAATGCAAAGACAACATGAGGCAAAATACAAACATAGACTTTATTAAATGCTGCTCAGTCCCCCAATGAAGGTCTTTCATTACAAAACAGTTTGCCACACGACTGCAAGTTAAGAGATTGGAATGGTACTCTGACAACACAAGATGTGAGAAAGACTTGACCAAGTGAGAACATACAGGACCTCTCTATAGTCACCTTTTTCAGAACTCTACAGAGGAAGCCTACTTCATTTCCTTTAAATAAAGCCAGGCAGTGACAGTGAGCGCTCTGCGTCACCACATTGTGGGACTCAGAGCCTCCATCCCTGGGTCAGGAGGGGACTGGAGGAAGGGCAGGTTGTGAGGACTGGAAAGGCCCTGCCTTCAGCCTTCGGGAGGAAGAGGAGGAATGAACTGAGAGGCAGGCTGAGCGTTCACCTGCGCTGCCTCCAGTGATCTGTGCTCGTCACACTGGGAAGTTACAGATGGAGGAGGATGTTCGTGAGGAACAATCTTAGGAATCTGGTTTACTTTCCCAGCTTTTATTTATAGTTTGTGCTTTAAAAAGCCTGGAGATTTAAGTTTTTGCTCAAATTCCAGAGTACAGTAAGATCTCTAATGAAGGCAGGCTTAGGGCAGGTAACTCCCCCATCATGTTTCTGGGAGAGATGAAGGGAAGGGTAATTATACCTTAGTTTTATTTTAGGAAATATTCTTTTTCCTAGGATATAACCAAGGTCTGCAGCAATGTGAAAAGCACATTATAAAAGGGAAAAATATACAGCGCAGACTACTATATCTATGTGCAACACAATCAAAAAAAGAATTCAAGTCATAATTCTTACCACTCCCATAATTATCTCACTCATATCATAGATGAAAGTTCATTTCTGTGAAACTTCAGAAGTGACACAATAAATCAATGATTAGACAAAGGTTACAATATACTGCGGCCATGATATAGCACAGGGCTATGTTTAGTCCATATGTTTTCTCATTTACAGTTGCCAGAAAAAAAATTGGCCTTTTAATTATATTATACTGATGAGGTTTGTTTTGTAATTTTTACATATTTCAAAAAAGTGTATAAAACTGTGCCTATCAAAGAGGTGGTAGGCTTTTTTTATTCGTCACTTGTATTGCTGAGAATACTGTGCATGTTGTAAGCACTGTTCTGCTTTTCTAGAGCTTTCTTTAGCTTTAGCTCCTCTAATTTTTTCCATAATTCTTCACGTTCCAATTCCTTCTTTTTCTCTCTGTAGATAAACCAAAATTTTTGTAATCAGAAACTGTTATTTCAGAGCCTGAAGAAGCATGCTGTTTGGCAGTTTGCTGGAGAAGACCTCTTTCCCCCACATTTCACTTGAATCCCTCAACTGAAGCGTTTGGGGGCAATTCCCTGGAGCGCCTCATTACTCCTGTCCCTCTCCTAAGTGTAACACGACATCCGTGCATCTCCCATACCAACTGACAGTTGCGACTTGCTTTCCCGCCCCTGCGTGCTATCAGGCCACCACAAGGACCACCACATCGTCCGTGCTTTACATGGACCAAGTACTCTCACGTAGTTAATAACTTTCTCTGGAAACCCCTTGCGGTCCCCGTAGTGGTCATGATCACTCCTTTACAGACAGAAGGACTGAAGGGTTGGCTACAAGCTCAGTCTGGAGCCATTTCCAGGTAGAATCCTCATCTTCTGGCATCACATCTCTAGCTACTAACCAGTCTGTATTTTACTGTCTCTTGTCTCTTACATGTGAAGTGAAAACTTTAAAGTTTGAATAATCTCTCTCTAAAAAAAAGTCAAAATGTTTTATATGTTGTTTCAACTACTTAGTTTCAATTCTAAGGAAAATACTTCTGAATAACTTGGACCAAACTATTCTGAAGGGCTATATGAACATGTGAAAAAAAACATGGGCTTATGGTTCTGCAGTTATATATGATTTAAAGGGACAAAGGTGCTCACTTATGCTGATAGTAAGACAGTGATTATTAGTCATGTGAAATATACATTTTCAAATGTAAGTTTCATATGACCCTACTCATCTTTACTTTCTTCTCATTGCTTCCTGGGGCTCAAACTAGGTACCTAATTTCTTTCTTTCTTTCCTTTTTTTTTTTTGAGGAAGATTAGCTCTGAGTTAACATCTGCTGCCAATCCTCTTCTTTTTGCTGAGGAAGGCTGGCCCTGAGCTAACGTCCACGCCCCTCTTCCTCTACTTTATATGTGGGATGCCTGCCACAGCATGGCTTGACAAGTGGTGCCATGTCCACACTTGGGATCCAAACCAACGAACCCTGGGCTGCCAAAGCGGAATGTGTGAACTTAACCACTGTGCCACCAGGCCGGCCCCGGTACCTAATTTCTATATCTGCCTGAAAAGTACTATTTAAAAGAAAGAATGCATTGAGTTAGTTGTTGATGGACTAGGATGGCCTTGAAAGAGAGCTGTCCTTTCTCCACTTGCCACAAGAAAATCACGACTAAGAACTTAGAATAGATCAGCTTTTCCAAAGGGTACAGGTAATATACTTATTAGAAGTAAATGGTAACTGTTATCCTCAAATGATGGGTGAACTCAGGTACAGTGGTTACTGTACTGTCCCCCTTAAGTCTGAAATAAATATATGAGAAGGAAGTAATTTTTAATTTTAAAATTTTTTTGAAAAGGAAGTAATTTTTAGATTATTTTCTAGTAATTTATGAAATTCTCAAAAAGAGGTAATCATTAAGCCAAGTTCCTAAATGCTGATGTGTCCTATCATTTATTCTCTAAAATATATATATTATTGCAAGGAGCAAAATATGAATTAATAGTACTGAGCCATAGGCACATCATTATGTGAGTTCCCTCTTCCCAAAAAAGAACTGTGCTGACGTTAAAATACCACCCTGTTAAAATGTGCCACTTAAAAACTATCCAGGTATTGTGCGAGGAGCAGCTGAAGAGTTAAAGCTCACTCTGAAAGCCCACGTAGACAAAAACGATTTTCATAAATATAAGAAAGTTGTACAAAATAGTATTTAAAATTCAGCATAAACTGTATTTCACAATGCAGATGCTACCAGACTGATGAAATCTAAGGCTCAGAATAAGAAAAACAGAGGACTTATGATCCACATTAAAATCATCATTTAACCATGAGGGGAAGTTTACCTGGAAATGACTTAGAAGTGTTTAGAGACTTTCAAATTATAATGCTTAATTGACTTCTTCAACATTATAATTTTAACTTAGAGAAGATAACTTATTGAACTGAATCACATTCAATTAACCTAAAAGGTATAATAGACGACTTCGTAATTAAAAACATCAAATACCTTTGTCTTTCAGCTTTGTATGAGCTAGTAAGGTCATCGAAAAGCTTGCCATTCATTTCCATTAGGGTTTTCAGCACATTGTATACCAATGCTACAATGGTCCTAAAAGGAAAATAAGCCAGCCCTGGGTTATTAATGCTACTAACAGATAAGCAATGTAACATGGTCATCTCTGAAATGAGTTAAAATGCTGGCTGATTCACTTAATCCACCGTAGAGATGATAAACTAAGGGGCAAGAGGTTTAGGAATCTGCTCAAGCTCACGCAGCCATCGTGGTAGAGATGGTTTGTCTGATCCCAAAACTCATGTCCTTCCCACTGTATCATGCTTAGATTAGACTAACTAAAAACGTTATGGTTATCTTCATGTCTGCTCTAGAGTCTATTGTCTCAAACCCTCAGTAACAGCATTAAAAGAAGATGAAAAAGATCCTATTACCATAATTTGTAAGAGGCAAAGTAGAAAGCAGGATAAGGATTTTACAGAAGTCAGAATATATGCAATCTAAACATCACTGATATGACCTTAAGCACATCAGCTTCTCCCTGGGGTAGTGCTGTCTGGAG